AGACGATGGTCGGTGAAGTTCGGGTGCTGCAGTTGGTCCGGAGGTGTCCAACAAGTCCAATTGGCGCCCGGAATGTCCTCTGACATCGTGCACACATTGGGGGCGGTTGGGCGTTGGCGTTGTTAGGCGGCGGCGGCGGCGGGAGTTGAGATCTGTGTGTCTCACCTTTGGCTTTGGCGGCGGTGATGTGTTTGGATTCGAAGATTGTTGTGCCTGTCTTAACTCTCCGCTTGCACGTAGGTCGGTCCGGGGCAAGGTCTTCGCCGTTTACAATGTTGATATGCATGTGCTTCAAGGAGGTTTTCATGGTATCCTTGTGGCACTGGACTTGACCTCCCTGTCGACGGGAACCCGCCACGAGATATCCATAGAAGAGTCGTTTGGGTAGCCTCTCGTCGTCCATCCGTACGAGGTAGCCGCTCCAGCGTAGTTGTAGTTGTCTGAGCATGGCGTAGATGCTGAGGATTCCCGTCTCCACCAGTACGTCCGTGTCTTGGATCCGGTCCTGCCACCTCAGACTCAGAATTAAACGAAAACAAGTTGGGTAGAAGTGGTTAAGTCTACGTGCCTGCTTCGTGAACACCGTCCAAGTCTCCACTCCGTAAAATAGCGTCGGCAGGATGACTGCCATTTACATCTTCAGTTTCGTACTGAGTTGAAGACCGTGGCGATTCCAAACTGTGCTTTGAAGGCGGCCAAAGGCTTGACTGGCCTTAGAAATCCAGCGGGCCACTTCATTGTCGATTTTGGTGCTGCGGGAGAGGATGCTGCCCAGATACGTGAATTTGGCCACCACTTGCATTAGGGTTCCGTTCACGCTGATTTGCGGCGCATTGTGGGGGATGGCAGTGTTGTGTGGCGATTGGTGCATGACAATCACCTTTTCCGTGTTGATGGCCAGTCTGAGGTTCTCGCAGGCGGCGGAGAAGAGGTCCATGCTACTTTGCATGTCCTCTTTCGAGGTGATGTTGAGGGTGCAGTCGTCGGCGAACAGAAGTTCGTGGACAGTGGTTGTGGATGCACGCAACTGGAAGTGCATCCGCCACTGACTGAGGAGGTGGCCGTCCATCCTGCAGGCGATGCGGATCCCAGGGCGTTCGTCCCAGTAGGCGTCTATCAGCATGGCAGAGAATATGAGACTGAAGAGCGTAGGCGCGATGATGTTGACCTGCTCCACTCCATTGGTCACTGCGAATGCCTCTGAGATATCTCCATTGTCTGTGACTTGCGTCATCATGCCACCGTGGAGCAGACGCACCATCTGTGTGAGTCGTTGGCTACAGCCGAATTTCTGCATGCTTTTCCACAGTCCTCCGCGATTCACCGTGTCGAAGGCTTTCGTCGGATCCACAAAGGTTGGGTAGGGGTGGGTCCGCATCTCTCCTGACACTTCTCCTGAAGTTGACGGACGGCGAAGACCATGTCCGTGGTGCTACGATGACGACGGAAGCCGCACTGGCTTTTCAGGCGGTTGAGAAGGATTCGAGCAAAGATTTTCCCGGCAATGTTCAGCAAGGAGATGCCTCGATGGTTATCGCAGAGTTGGCGACTACCTTTCTGTTTATAGAGATGGACGATGGTGGCGTCTTTGAAATCCTGTGGGACTTCTCCTTCACACCACATCTCCCGGAAGAGCACCGTCAGATGATCCATGAGTTGGGGACCACCGCGCTTGTCGATCTCAGCAGGGATCGCGTCCGATCCAGGCGCTTTACCGCTGGGGAGCGTTTGCACGGCCCTGCAGGTTTCGTGGAGAGAGGACGGGACGTCGGGGTCGACGTTGGTCTCTACTTGAGGCAGACGGACGATGACGGCGTCGAAGATGGTGGGAGGGGGGGCGGTTGAGGACGCCTCGGAAGTGATCGGTCCACCGCTGAAGAATATATGCCTTCTCGGTGAGAAGGGTACTGCCGTAGGCGCTGAGAATAAATGCAGTTGTTTCAATCGCTGGACCGTAAACAGCTTCTATTGCGACGAAGAAGTTCTTCCATTTGTTTCGGTCCGCGTACCCGTGGATTTCCTCGGACTTGCGAGCCGTCCAAGCGTCCTGCATCTCACGCAGCCGATGCAGCTCCAGGCGGCGACTACGGTAGAAGGCAGCTCTGTTGTCGTCTGTGGGGTGGTCTACGTAGGTTTTTGTGCAGGCGGTTCTTCTCTGCGAGCAGATTGCTGATGGCGGCATCGTTGCCAGTGAACCAATCCTGATGTTGGCGGCGTGCGCGACCGAGGACGGCCAGGGCCGTCGACGGGTCTGTGTCCCTCAGTTGACACCAATGGTTCTCCACGCAGGCTTTCTCGTCGGTGTCGTTGGCCGTGGCGGCAGCGACTGGAAGTTTGGCTAGTCTTTGAGCAAGTTGATCGCTGAAATGGAGGTATTGAGCAGACAAAGACAACAAAACAATATCCAGCTTACCCGGGGGTCGCTTACCATGAGGTCTTCCACGAGGCTGTAGGTGAATACGCATCTTCGAGATGACGAGACAATGGTCAGTAAGCCCGTCGGTGCCTGGGATCGCCTTTGCCACCAGCACGTCCCGTTGGTCTCACCTCCGGACGAGGACATAGTCCAG